CCCCGCGCCCGTGCCCAGGGCCAGACCGTCCTGTCGCGGGCACCGAGCCCAGCTGCTCCCTCGGGCTCGGGCTCCGACGCCGTCCCTGAGCTGGTTTCCGCCGCGTCTCGGCCGTCTTTCCCCTGGCCAACTGACCCCACCAGGGCCCCGCGCGGCCCTGTCTGCTCCCGCGTCCACACCCTCCTTCCACGCTCAGGCCACTCCGCGCGACCAGCCCTGTGTTCGCTCATTTCTGCACCCCGCCTTTGCTTGCTCAGGCCACCCCGTTCTGCCCAGCGCTCCACCCGGCCGGGGTGGGGAGCACCGGCGGGGGCCCTGGGCGGATTCCTGCCCTCTGGGATCCCGCGAGGGGATCTGCGCCCGGTTCCCCTGCTCACGCCGCGTCCTGCGTCCTGCCCGCTGGGACGCAGCCGGTCAAACGAGTGTCACCTGCAGGTGTGACCGGTGTGGGTGGCTTTGTCTCCTCGAAGCGTCTCCCCGTGTTCCCGGTGGCCCCGCGTGCGTGGGGCTCTTCCAGGTTTTCCCTTGAAGTGACAGTGGCGTCGTGGTGGTGACCTCATTCAGGAACGAGGTCAGCGACGTCTGTGATACGTGCTCATTTGGTATCCGTTTGAGAGGGAGGATTTCACGCTTTTGAAGACCTGTCGTTTAATATGTGGGGTGAGGATTTAGGGGGAAAGGCTTTCTATAGCCCGTTTTAGAATTTTTTTTTTCATGTGGGTGTTTCAGGCCTAGAGAAATTTGGGCTAAACTATTTTATTTATGAACTTGAAAAAACAGAGTAGCAAACGAGAAAATGGGAAGCAGGAGATGAACCGCATCACGCACCCCGGCCCACGCTGGCGAGAGCCCGGGTTCCCGCCGCTCACCCCACCCCGCAGGCGGCTCTAATGCGAGCTGCGGACTGACATACTCATGGTGTCTTCTACGTGTGACACTGCTCGTCGTTCACGGACGGTGACGATTTGCAAGGCGGTGTACACGACGGTTCGAGACCACAGACGTGATGTGCTGCTATCAGCAGCCGAACTGGGCTGTGAGGTGCGCTGGAGTTTCATGACCCTGTAAAGCATTCCCGTTACCGGCATGGAAATAATCGTCACGCTCCCTGGGACGTGCGGGGGGGCCCGCTGGGGTCCCGATCGGTCGCCTGCACACCCTCCAGCTCCAGCGTGAACCGAGCTCTGTTCCGCAGCTTGTGCTGTGAAAACCCTATTCCCCCACCCGGTTTGAGGGCCCTGATTCCCACGGAGGCCACGTCTACTTCTCCTCAGAAGCCGTGTTCAGGGTCACGTTCAAGGTTATGCTTCAGTTCATGACCCAGGAAGCTTTTCTGGCGGAAGGAAAGAAGTCCAGCCTGTGGCATCGGGGACGAGACCCTCAGGGGGATGAGTGACTGGGAACCAGCACCCGTTCCTCATGCTGCGTGAAGGAGTCTCCGGGAGCCCGGGCCCCGCGGAGAGCCATCCGGGGCCCGACGTGAGGCGGAGGGGCCACGGGGGGCGCCGAGCCGGTCCCGGAGAGGCCGGAGTTTCCGCTCGGCTTCTTCCCCCGCTTCTCACATCACAGGATGAGTAACACGGGAATGGACTTTGTGGAACATCTTTGAAAAATTCAAGCCCAGTGTCTGGGGAAAAATCATTTCTGACACCAGCAGTCCCGAGCGGGAGGCGTCGGTGAGGAAAGTCAGTCCAAGAGCGGCCGGCGGCAGAGCCGAGTCTGCACCGTGGCCGGGTGGGCGGGGCGGCGTGGTGGGTGGTGTGGGGGGGGCTTGGACCCCCCCAGATAACCGCCGCCCCGGGTCCGGGGCCAGACCACACAGCAGCGCTGTGAGAAGCAAACACGCTCCTGGGGTGCGAACGGGGTGCGTGTGGAGCCACCGGGGCGCCGCCGCCCGCTGCGCTACGTCCAGGA